CAAAATACTCAACAAAACTGTTCCAAGAAGAAACTCCGACTATTCCCTATGAGACAGGAAAACTTTACCTACTGACATGACATTTGTGTAGTTCTCCCACATGACTTCCCTGTAGAGCCTTTTTTGAGAAGAATCCAGAAATTTCCACTCCTCCCAAGTAAAAATAATAGTCACATCTTCAAATGTTACTGCCATCTGGCCAAAGATCAGGCTTTCTAGGAAGAAGAAATCTAAGTAAGAAGTTGAATAAAGATAAAGACATTTAGCAGATAATGTAAGTGGCAAGCCAAATAGAAAAAATAAATAAAGAAGAAAACCAAGAAAGGTAAGGAGAAGTATAACAATAGTAGTGAAATAGCTAACTAATATATCCAATCATCAAACATCATCACTATCAAAAGAAACACCTATCTAGCACTTGTCTACTAACCACTAAATTTTTTACCTATATTTCAGTTACTCCTCACAGAAATCCCATGTTGTAGGTAGCTTTCTACTACAATTATGCATTTCAGAATGAAGAAGAGATATGTATTAAAACTGCATAAGTATTTCTTTTAGTGGAAAGAACAAATCATAAATTGGTTATGTGACAAAGCCATTTTATTTCTTTTTAAATTTTTCATTTTATTTCTTTGATCACACATTCTCAGTTATCAATTTCAATTTAAAATATGGAGTACATACTAAGAATAAAGGATACAGATACTTTAAGGAGTTTACAATAAAATGGAAGGAAACACAAATACCATCAGCAGCAGCACCATCATAGCAGCAGCTAAATCTTACTGAACGTTTCTTATATGAATAGGGCTATGTTATCTAATTTCCTCTCAGAACAATCCAATAAGGTATTATTATTCTTAGTAAATGAATAAGCAAACTAACATTTAGCAAGACTAAGTTACTTGTACAAGGTTATGTAGTTACATCATAGAGGTTTTTAAATCTAGGCCTACCTATTAAGTAAAAGTGAGATAAACTAAAAACATTTGATGAAGGGTTGTCAATTGAGATTTCCATATACTGTCATAATGTGCTAATGAAGAAGGGCAGAGGAAAGAGGCACTGAAATATTCAAGGGTGAAAAATATACCACCAAACTAAAAATAAATACCACCAAACTAAAAATATACCACCAAACTAAAAAATAAATGTAGTTTATTTTCCAAATAAACTACATAAAAATGCATGTCTAAACAATAAAACATTAACCACAAATAACTCAAGAATGAGAAAATTCAGAACTACATATTTAAATATCTAGTGTTCTATTTTCAATGTTTATAAAATAAATTTAATACATTTAAAATATAATGAATCCACTTTAAATATATAAATAAAGAAATTTGGGATGCTCAAAAACCCAAACTACAGGACTGAAAACTGTGAAAGTTGGTATCTGTCTGGAAAATAAATGGACTCACTGATCTCTAATTTTATAAAAAGTACAATAAAAATCAATCTGTAGTTATTGGATTTTTTTTTAAATTTTAAGCATTTAAACATTTCTCTTACTGAAAATAAGTTCATAAATGTTTAAAATACTGAAGTAATATAAAAATTAAAAGCCTACCCTCCTCCAAATAATTTAAGATATAACCACTATAACCAGTTTTCACTGTGTTCTTTCTAACCTTCTTCCATGTATGCACACATTCATACTTCACTGATTTTTTTCTTAACAAAGACATGATAATTCTGCAATTTTCTTTTTTTAATCATTTAATATATGGTGTACAACTTTCCACTTCAGTACTCGTAGACCTATCTTATTTGTGGTAATTTTTAAATATGGCCACAAATTATTTGATTCTTTCCATTCAAGAAGTGAAGCCTAATTCCGCACCCCTTGAATATGGGCTGAACTTAGTGAGTCAATTCTGATGAATAGGAAATAAAGTGGAAAAGAAAGTAGTGTTGTGCAACTTTGGAAGCTAGGTCTTAAGAGTCACTGCAGGTTCTTTCTTGCTCTCTCTCTTGGATCACTAGCTCTGGGAAAAGCTATATGCCATGTCATGAGAAAATCCTAGGCAACCCTATGGTGAGGAATTGGGACCTTCTGCTTTCATTCAGAAATGAGACATCTTGCCAATAGCCATGTGAGTAAACTATCTTAGAAGTGGGTCATCCAACCCCAGTGCGTGCAGCCTTTAGATGACTGCAGTCCTTGCTGACAGCTTCACTATAACTTCATGAGAGACCTTAAGACAGCTACGCTTCTTCCAGATTTCTCAGCCTCAGAAACTGAGTGAGATAATGTTTAGTGTTTTAAATAATGAATAATTTCTTATGCAATAATAGATACCTAATATGTTATTTGTAAAAGTTACATAGCATTTCACTTAACTGATGTCCAAGACTTGACTGTTCCCATACTAATAGATGTTAAGATTGTTTGCAATTTCTTGGCTATAACATATAGCAAAATAATTCTCTTAAATATATCATTATTTCTATTGTAATATTTCTATATGATAAATATATCTATTTGATAAATATAAATATTTCAATATGATAGATATATTTCTATATGATAAATTTCTAGAAGTGAAATTGTCAGGCATCTGTATTTCAGTTTACTAAAAAATCCTACAAAATGTCCCTTGAAAATACTTTAAAAAATATGTTACAAATATTTTCCCCCAATGGAACAATAAAAGCAAGACACCTATATTCAAAATTAGAAAGTACAATAAATCTAAACAGAAAAAAGTTAAGAATTATATAAACAATAAACTAAGATGACAAGTAAACCTATTGATAGAAAAAAGGATACTAAAATTGAGTTTTAAAATAAAGTGGCATACTACTTATAAGAGATATACTCCAAACTAATGAATTATGAAGGGTTAAAAGTGATATGGCTAATTGTTTCCTTGTGGTGTTTAAGTTCTTTATTCACTTTCTCTTAGCTGGTTCTTTTTATGTTTTTTTTGAGACCAAGTCTCACACTGTTGCCCAGGCTGGAGTACAGTGGCTAGATCCCGGCTCACTGCAACCTCTGCCTCCCGGGTTCAAGCAATTCCCCTGCCTCAGCCTCCTGAGTAGCTGGGATTATAGGTACCCGTCACCACGCCTAGCTAATTTTTTGTATTTTTAGTAGAGATGGGGTTTCACCATGTTGGCCAGGCTGGTCTTGAACTCCTGACCTAGTGCTTCACCCACCTTGGCCTCCCAAAGTGCTGGGATTACAGATGTAAGCCACTGCACCTGGCCACTGTTAGCTGGTTCTTTTATCCCAGGATCTTAACTACAGTTTTCCAAAAAGAATGCCTGCCTGTATACTTCCTATAGTACATTTCAGTTAGCTAAATTGAACAATGGCTTCAGGTGCTGTCAGCCCAGTCCTTCCATTCTAACATTCTCTTAAACCTTTAACTAAAAGTTTTAACAGTAAATGATGATCATTTCCTAGATTTGTGACTTCATTAGGTTTTATAAATTGGTTGTCTAATTCTATAATTCTACCATTCCCTGTGCATATATATGCTATAATTCTTATATAATGAAAAACCTGCCATTACAAATATTCTGGTTACTCTGAAATGTGGTCCTAAAGAAAAGGACAAGATAAAATGTTTCCCTCTCAGCTTACTCTCTTTTAAAAATCAATTTTCAGAGTATGAGATGGGGCAAAGCAATTAACAACTAGGGACAATGAGATTTGTATTGCTTTTCAGTGTTTTCATAAACTCATTGATTCTTACATACTGGATGGGTTGCAATTAAATTGTAGTCATTTTTCTTTTAGATGTGCAAGATCCTCTCATCTTAGACTAGCAGGAATCCCTTCAGGTTGGCTCCTGGGTATGTAATATGACCTTTTTTTTTTTAGCATTTGAGAGCTTCCTTATTTTCTGGCACAACCAATGTCCAGGTTCATTCTTGTTGCATTTCCTTTACCAACGAGGATGTACTGTTTCTCCCAGGGGTTTGCTAATTTTCCACTCTTTTGGTATTAAGTAACCACCCAACAATATTATATAAGCTTGGTATCTCTTTTGTCTTCTCATCGCTGTCTCCAGCTATTAGTTTTCTTTAAGGTCCTTTTCAAGAAAGGTCAGTTAAAGTCATTCTCTATACATCTGGAGTTTTGATTCCTTCTTGTTATTGTCAGATTTTGCTGTATACAATTTGAAACACGTTCTTAGCTACATATTAGTTCATGGTTAATACATGTTCTTGATGGATCTTTACCATTATTTAACATGACTGACCTTTTATTGTGACATTAAATAGGTCTCTTGTAAAGAGCATAGAGCAAGATTTCTGCTTTTCATCCAATCAGTATGACTCATTTATCTTATTCATGTTCATTTATTGTGATTACCAATATAGACTTATATCTAAGATATGATTTTTTAAAATTCTTCCTTTCCTGTCTCTTAGATTGACTGATAGTTTTATGCTTTGATTTCTTCTCATCTCCACCTTTTCATCTATGTTGATTTCAATTTCACACAGTTTCTATTATTTTAATAAATAACCTAAATATATTTAAAATATATACACTTACCTCTCTATTTTTCTAACACGTCAATTAAAAAGATAAACAAATCCAGGAAGGGCTGCATGAGATATGACAAGAAAGGTGATCAAGTACCTTGGCAAAGTTTATTTTTATTATAAAACAAAACAAAAAATAGGAGCAAAGAAAAAAAGAGACATAGAAAGTATATCAATTCCTATATATCTGAACTACAATTCCTGACAATACAAACATGAAGGGAGAAGGAGAAGGACATAAGGGTGTGTGCTAAAGTCCATGTCTTATCAGAAATATGACCTAGATATTAATACATTTAAAAAGTCAGTAGGGGTAAATAAAAGTCAATGTGGGTTTTAAGTTAAGCACAGCTATCATAAGAACCAAAATTGAATCTATAAAAAACAAAAACAGAAGACAGCTTGCTCTAAAGGAAAACAGAAAATAAAAAAGAAAATGATGGAAAAAATAATATAACAGTTATAATAAATTTAAATAATTTAATCTCACAAATTAAAAGACAGACTGAAAGATTAAAAAATAAGATTTAGCATGTGGTTTAGAAGAGATACACTAAAAAGAAAAATATTTAAAAATACAAGGATAGAAAAAGATATGCCACAAAATATGAATCAAAAGAAAGCTCAAATAGCAAACTTAATTTCAGATGAGGAAAATTTATGGCAAAAATGCCGTAAGGAACAAAAACATTTTTTATATGAACAGTAAGAAAAAATATCCAAAATAAATTTCTCAAAAAATTATAGATCAAGCAAACAAAAAAACCCCAATAATATGAAGACTACTACAAATAATAAGTTTCTGTTATTTTATCTGTGTTGAACTCTACACCATAAAAATACAAAATACACATTATTTTCATGAATACATAGTAGTATTATAAGATAGACCATGTATTAGCCCATACAAGAAATCATGATAAATTCTAAAGCATCAACATAATAGAGAATACATTCTCTAGCTACAATGTAATAACATTTGAAAATATTAACAATAGAATTTTAAAAGCCTGCACTTCTGAAACCCAAGTCACATATTAATAACCTTTGGATTTAAAAGGAAAATATAACAACAAGTCTTAACTGTTTTTTCTTAAAAATCTAAACATAATAATGACAATAATTACACAAAAATATTTGCAAGATCCAAATGAAATACTTGAAGGAAACAAAAATGGCTAGAGCAACTGGGCAAAGTGGCACACACCTATAATCCCAGCACTTTGGGAGGCCAAAGTGGGCAGATCGCTTGAGCCCAGAAGTTTGAGACTAGCCTGGGCAACATGGAGAAGTCCCATCTCTACAAAAAATACAAAAATTAGCCAGGCATGGTGGCACAAACCTGTAGTCACAGCTAATCAGGAGGTTGAGGTGTGGGGATCCATTGAGCCTGGAAGGTTGAGGCTGCAATGCGCTGTGATTGTACCACTGCACTCCAGCCTGCAAGACAGAGCAAGACACTGTCTAAAAAAGAAAAAAACACTAAAAAACCCAGCTAGACTAACATTAAACTGACTAAGTGAAAGTATTCATCTTGAGAACCAGAAAAAGACAAAAATGCCCCCTCTCACCACTCCTATTCAACAGAGTACTCAGTACTGGAAGTCCTAGCCAGAGCAATCAGGCAACACAAAGAAATAAAAGGCATCCAAATAAAAAGATGGGAAGTCAAATTATCTGTGTTTGTAGATGATATGATTCTATACCTAGAAACTCCCAGAGTTGCTGCCCAAAAGCTCCTTCATCTAACAACTTCAGGAAAGTTTCAGGATACAAAACCAATGTATAAAAATCAGTAGCTTTCTACAATACCAACAACATCCAAGCTGAAAGCCAAATCAAGAATGTGATCCCATTTACAATAGCCATAATAAAGAATAAAATATCTAGGCATACTGCTGGCCAGGGAGGTGAAAGATCTCTACAACAAGAATTACAAAGCACTGCTCAGAGAAATCAGAGACGACATATGCAAATGGAAAAACATTCCATGCTCATGGGATAGAAAGAATCAACATCATCAAAATGGCCATACTGAAGCAATATACAGATTTAATGTTACTTCTATCAGACTACCAATGACATTCTTCACTGAATTAGAAAAAAAAAACTATTTTAAAATTCATATGAAACCAAAAAGTAGCTCAAATAGCCAAGGCAATCCTAGATAAAAAGAACAAAGTTGGAGGCATCACGTTACCTGACTTCAAAAGCTACAGTAATCAAAACAGCAGGGTCCTGATATGAAAACAGACACATACACCAATGGAACAGAATAGAGAGCCCAGAAAAAAAATGCCTGACACCTAGCACCATCTGATCTTCAACAAAGTTGACAAAAACAAGCAATGGGGAAAGGACTCCTATTCAATAAATGGAGCAGGGATTTCTTATACAGTACATAAAAATCAATTCAACATGATTTTAAGACTTCCATGAAAACCTAAAACTATAAAAATCCTGGAAGATAACCTAGGGAATACCATTCTGGACATAGGACTTGGCAAAGATTTCATAACGAGGACACCAAAAGCAATTGCAACAAAAACAAAAATTGACAAATGGGACCTAATTAAACTAAAGAGCTTCTACACAGCAAAAGAAACTAAGAAAGTAGATAGACAACCTACAGAATTGAAAATATCTGCAAACTATGCATCTGACAAAGATCTAATGTCCAGAATTGATACGAAATTTAAACAAATTAAGAAAAAAAACAGCCCCATTAAGAAGTAGGCAAAGGACATACACAAACACTTTCCAAAAGAAGACATACACACAGTCAACAAGCATATGAAAAAATGCTCGACATCACTAATCATCAGATAAAGGCAAATCAAAACCACAGTGAGATACCATCTCATACTAGTCAGATCGGTATTATTAAAAATTCAAAAAATAATAAGATGCTGACAAGGTAACAGAGAAAAGGGAATACTTAAATCCACTGCTAGTGGGAATGTAAATTAGTTCAGCCATTGTGGAAAGTGGTGTGGCAATTTCTCAAAGAACTTAAAACAGAATTACCATACCTAGCAATTCCATTACCGGGTATATGCCTACTTGAAGGTGGATAAAGAGAGGAGAAAGAGAGGATCAAAAACCGACCTATCTGGTACTATGCTTTACTTGGCGGACACAGTAATTTGAATGCCAAACACTCATGACCCACAATTTATCTATATAACAAAACTGCATAGATACCCCTCATATTAAAAGTTAAAAAAATGAGTAGAAATGAAGCATTCAACTCAGGAATGTAAAAAAGAGAAACTATCTCCCATTAAAAAAAAATAGCAAACTCAAAAAAGAAGAATGAAGTGGAAGTGAAAGATATAAGAAACAAATGATTGAGAAAATGCATGAAGCCAAAAGATGCTCTTAAAAATTTAATGTCAGATCAATGAAAGTCAGATTTTCAAAAAGACAGCTATGAAAAAAATACAGGGCAAAATGGGAAAATAATTTCAAATATAAGATTTTTCAATGATGCAAAGGTGTTGTGAACTATATATATAAGGATATTTATGAGCTATAGGCAAATATACAGAAATATGTAACTAAATAAAGGGACCAATTCCCAGTAAAGTACAAAAAATAAAATATGGCAAAAAATATGAAAGACAAAAAAATTATATAGACTAGTAAGTACTAAATTAAAATGGTAGCCACACTCTTCCTCTCTCTCCCTAATCCCAAGGTTCTAATAGTTTTATAGTTGAGTTTTATCAAACATGTAATTAAGTTAATTACTATTACAATACATTGTTTTCAAAAGTAGAGAGTGAAAATTGCCAACTTATTTTATGTAGCTAGCATAATCTTTGATTCCAAGACTAGATAAGAACAATATAAATAAAATTAAATTACAGGCTCATTTGTAAATTTTGTAAATATTCAAAAATCCTAAATAAAATATTAGCTAATTAAATTCAGTAATATATCGAATATATGCATCATGATCAGACAGTTTATTATAGGAATGCAGGGATTGCTCAACATGAGAAAAACCCATTAACATAATTCACTATATCAATAGACTACAGAAGAAATCCATAATAATCTCAACTGATGCAGAAAAACCATGTGATATAAAGTTCAGGAAGTTCAACATTCATATATTGTCTTAAAAACATTTTTAGCAAACTAGAGGAAAAACATAAACTCCCTAAAGTGGCAAAGGTTAAATATCAAGAACTTTAAGCTTAATGGAGAAAATTCATATATTCCCTTTACACTGGTAACAAGAATGACCATCATCACTGCTGCTCTCAACACAGCATTAGAGATTCTGGCAAATACTATAAGAAAAAGAATTAAAGATATAAGGATTAGAAGCAAAAATATAAAATGTCCTTATTTTATAGTTATGGCCATCTACCTAGAAAAACCAAGAGTATACAACAAACTATAAGTTAAGAGAGTTCAGCAAAACAAACAAACAAAAAACCGATACAATAAAGAAATAGCTTAACTGATTTAGTAATCAACTACTAGAAAGTAAGATACCATTCACACCAGAAAAAAACAAAACAAAACCATCTTAACCAAGAATACAAAGATTTCTTTGATGAAAGCTTCTAAATTCCAATAAAGAAGAAAAATTATCTAAATAAAAGGAGAAGCATGCTTCCGTGCTCTTGGATGGAGTAACTTAAATTCCATACATTCCAGTCAAATTTCCAGATGGCTATTTTGAGGAACACAATAGACTTCTTTTCCTTAAAACTGACAAGGAAGGAAATAAGTTGGTAAAGACAAGTAAACCAAACAGGAAGACTACCAGATACTGACATATCACCAAAACTATAGTAGTAAAATTAGAATCTCTCACAAGATTGTTGAGTTGTTGGATCTGCAGTCATCAAAAGGCTTGACTGAGAAGAAGGATTCAATTCCAGGGTGGCTAACTCACATGGCTAGCAGGCTGGTCTAAATGTTGATGAGAGATATGTTTCTCTCCATGTGGTCCTTTCAAATGGTAGGGACTATCTGTCAACACGGTGCAAGTTTCCCAAAAGAAAGAAAGGCAAGCAAAAACTGCATTCTTTTTATGACTTAG